GTTACGACCTGGTGCTGCCAGAGGAGTTTGAACCAATCGCCGGCGATGGCGAAGTGGAGTCCTTTCACCTCATGGGCCCCGCCCTCGGGCACCGAGGGCCCGGAAGGGTTTGTTTCGCCCCATTTTTTCATGGGATAACCAGCAATGGCCATGTAGATGGTGGTTATCGGGGCAATTTCATGGTTTGTTAATGGGATAATCATGGGATAATAATGGGATAAACATCTATTTAATGGGATAATATAACTATATCTGGTTGGTGGTTTCAAACATGAATTTTATTTTCCATTTCATATATGGGATGTCATCCTTCCCATTGACTTTCATATTTTTCAGAGGGGTTCAAACCACCAACCAGATATCTAATAAGTATCATAATGTTATTTATATTCCATATAATATGCTGGTTTACTGGTGATTTCCCTGATTTCAGTACTTGGAGGACCCACGAATTGTAGCTGGTTAAGAACCAAATATGTATGACCCAGTTGGAGTAGCGGGATAATCCACGAATCGGGCACTTACTAACCAGGGTTATTAACCACTTTACTAGGTCGGGATCCTTCTTTACTAGGTAAGGAATTCACGTGGATACCATGGGGATATTTCACCAACCATATCGGAAAATAGGGCATCCTACTTCCTGGTAATCAAACATGGCTGGCAATGAGAGAATCAGGAGGGCATCCCAATTCGTGCCAGCGAAAGTCCATGTTTTCCATAGTTACATCCCTCATGTTTCCTACTTGAACCCCAACTTTTCTTAGTCCCCATGTCTGTTTCTGAAATCCACATGTTTCTCAGTGAAAAATCTCAATCAATCCCATTTTGTTTGCTTGTTTAATTCCTCTTTTTTTCCGTAGTGCAGTTTGTACAACCACTTCACTCAATGGATTGGTTTAAGGGAAAAATTGCAGGAAAGCACCATATATAATGGGAAAATCTATGGTTTCCTGTAAATTTCCCCTTAAACCAATCCATTGATTCACCAAATGTCAACCACTTTACTAAGTGGAATATTCCCAACTTTTTCCTCGCTCCATCCCCATGAAAACTACTATTACTAGGACAATTCCCCCAGCTATAACTTGGTTTTCACTATCACCATTAACTATGATATTCCATGATTGTTGGTTTAAAGGGATGATAACTATACATAAAGATATTATCACAATTAACTAATAGTTTTAGCCAGCCCCACTCAGTTTGTAGATAATATATATATATATATGTATATTTATATATATTATATAGTTGTTATTATATTCCATTACAATCACTATAATCCCATTGTTAATCACTATAATTACTAGAAACACTATAATCCCACGATTGTCATCTACAACTATTAATCACCATTAATCTCTATTAATCAATATAAGTAGTTATCTAAAATCTATAATCCCAGTATTAAACGGTTAAAAAACATATCTATATTGCCATTATAATTCCATCATTACAATAGTGTATAGATTATATTATTACACTGACACTGGTTTATTACAACCCAGTAAATCCCTGCTGATCATCAGATATTTTATCATTATAATCCCATCATTACACTGGTACATTATGACACTGGATTATAGATCTAATAATATAGTGAATCACTATTAAACACGAATAGATGAATATAGTCACTGCTTAAGAAAAAAACACTATTCAATTAGAGATTAATCTCTATTAAACACGATTTGCATTGATACGATAATTCATCAATCAGAGATAATAGAGGAGATAACAGTGGGATTAAGTAACTAATGATGATCATCTGATGACCATTACTGGTTCCCATTTCTATAATCAGAGATCAGGTAATCAGCTATAACTTGGTTCATAATCACCATTACTTATTATTTCATAAACTAATAACAGTCTATTGTTACTGTAATCACAATTTCACGTTTAATCACTATTAATCACGGATGATCCAGGCCATTTTAATCAATTAGTCACTATTAATCACTCATAATCACTACAAAACACCCTAAATAGAATTATCAATCACTAAGACTATTAATTACTGATAAGATAATTTAATCACTGTTAGTGCTTAACATTAAACACTATCAAGCACATATATTAATCTATTCATTATTAAACACAGATGAGGTCTCGATGAGGTCGTGGCATCTCTGGTCTCCAAAGAGGCGCGCTGGAAACCCAACGTGGCTCGGCGTAAGCGCCGCAAGCGCCGTGGTTCCACGGGGCCCCCGTTCCAAAAACCATAGGAAAACCATAGGAAACCATAGGAAAATTGTGATTTTAGCAAGATATAATGGATGGATGAGATGTATTTAAACATGATCAAGTTAGCTGGACTCTTTTTGTTACCCACCAAGGTTAAGAGTGGTGATTGAATGGGATATTCATTGGACTTAACGGATATATACATATGCATAATTATACATATGTGTTTTATAATTATATATATATACATATCTTGTCATAAGCAAATAGACCATAAACTATCTTACCATATGTGGGTGAGGATATTGATTTTTCATGGTGCTTCCACTTTCCATGGTCAAGCCACGCCTTTTGTTTGAACCCATGTTGGTCAATAGTCAGATTTGGAGATATTGAGTAATTCACATGGGGATTTCATGGTGTAGTGGGATATAAAACCAATTAGAATCAGTAGCTGCGGGATATTTGAAGGGATGGTCATGAATCCATTCTTGTGGGGATAGATTTTTGAGGTTAGGAATCACACTAAGGGATGGATGACTTGAAACACGATTAACCATGCTTTGACCATGACACGCGTGGGATTTACAAGTAACATGCTGGAGAATATGGTGATATATCGCTGAATTTTAATTGGCAACCTTTTTTTTAAATAACTAGTCAACACGTTGGAAATATCATTGCTAACATGGATTGATAACAAAATAGATTGTATAGCATTGATAGCCAGCATGGGTTGATAAATAGGTATGGTGGATTTATAGCTAACACAGTTGGATACATATAACCAACCATACTTGGAATCTAGCCGCATATAATTAACGGTATGATATATGGGTTTGATTGAAAACAGGGTATGACGGTATTAGCTACACATGACAAGCTCAGGGATTTTCATGGCGATAGTGAATGTTCGTGAGAATTTTGCGGAATAGGATGTACCCTATTTTCAGAGAAACCATTTCACTGTATATGCTGAATACTTTGAATATATATATATGTATATATACATACACAGATATATTCATGTGTATTGGGCCATGAAAGACATGTTGAATCCTCTATATCAAAATATTATATATATCTATATATTAGGTTCTTGTTCTTTTTTGGTAGTGTACTGATATATATACTTATATTTATATTTATATCTTTGTAATATACGCATATTTAGATAGTTGAACATAATATCTACATATACACACACATCTACTTGTTTCCATTTGCGTACTTACAGCCAATATAGGTGTGTATATATATAATATTATTTATATATATAACATGTTCACATAATTTCAAATATGATGAAATGCAAACATGAAGATTTGCACGCGTTAGATGCATGAGATGTCCCCAGTGGCAATACGAGACATGTCCCGACAGAGTTGGATGCAAAAAGCTGGTGAATCTGTTTCGCCCACCGTTTTGTGTGGATTCATGGTGACATAGACAGCAGAATACAGGAGTTATTGCGATTCAGCAATCAAAAAAGGAGGATGTAAGCATCAAAGAATGAAGATTTTGAGCCTGACCACTGACCAGTATGTTAATTTTCAACGAAAGAAGCTAATTCGGATAGAACCGGCATGATACAAGCAAAGATCTTTTGGGCGATCATTGGGCTACACGCGATGATAATCAGTGATGCAGGATCGCAAAAATGCATAGATTGAATACCAATTATACTTTCTGGGACGTCTTTAGGGATAGACCCTTCAAAGATAGAAACCAGTTATATAATCTTGCCAAAAGTGGGGTCAGGGAGCATGGAGACTTCTGAATTGGAGTTTCCATATGATGTTCCCATTTTCCACGTGTTCGCAGCATTGCACTAGCAACGCGAGGCAAGATTCCGCGGACAGAAGATATTCGGAAGGTCGGCCTTCTATATTTTCCCCTGTAAATGCGGGTTGCCATAGTCGTGGGGGATCCCAAAATGGTTGGTTTACAATGGAACATCCTTCTATAAATGGATGATTTAGGGGTATCCCTATTTTTAAGAAACCACCAAGGAAACCACCCAAGTGGGTATTTCAATGGGAGCCATGTTGGCTTGACAGGGAAAGCGACTGCATTCTGCTCGTAGGCTTTGATGGATGTCCTTCATCCAAGAGCACGCTTCAATCCAAGAGCACGGCTCAATCGAAAGTACAAGGTGGTGCCCCCCAGTTATGCTTGTTGATTTGTACCTTATTCGAACTCTACCCAGAAAATCCAAATGGCTCATTGGACCCCTACAGGACATAGGGGGGCAACATGAGTTATTTAACTGGGATTTAAGTGTCCGGGTATGTATAGATATAATCATATAACCATATGTATATATAATATACAGCATGATATAGACCAGAAGTCCAGTCGTTAGCCAAGTGAAGAAACAACATCGCTAAGGATTGGCGCCTACGAGCATGCAAACACCTCTTTCTGGAGGCTAAGCCGCACCACTGGACTGGATCTGAAGCCCATCGCATGGTTGCCGTATGTGGACGCGTGCCAGAATGATAGACAGGCATTGGATACGCATAAATTACTGTCTTTGCAACGTTTTGACTTGTTCAATGCTGAATCTCAGGGGTCATTTGAGCAGGGCGACTTACAAAACAACCTGGCCATTTTAAACTCAATTGTTGCTGATCCTGATTTTAGTCCCTGGTCTTCGTATTTTTTTCAACCAAAGACCCTGGAGCTATAGTGCCAAAGCTTGTAAGGCGGCGCTTGGGCCGTGCGCGTGTCCTAGCTGATAAAATTGACAATGGCATTTCATGTCTCTGCATGATGGCTTCAAGACAACCATAGGTTCGCGCTTCGTGTTCCCAACATTGGTGTTTCCCATTTTGCAGATTTGTACCTGCGCCAGCAATATTTGCGGACATTTGGGACACACACGCACACAAAAAAAAATGAGAAATCACGCTGGGTTAGATCGGTTTTGGGTTCACACCAGGAATCAATTTGAAATGCACTACGTAATTCTGGTTTTGTTTCTTCAGCTAAAGGGCGGAATAGGACATTCCCTAGACTTACAAACACATCCTTCTCAAAGGTATCTCCTCAACACACCCAAATCAGTTTCTCAAGTTTTTTTTCAAACTGTAGGGGTCGCATTTTATCTGCCACTTAGTATAACCATGTATAATCTATTGATGATTTTCCTATTGAAATGCCAATTTACTTTGGACATTTCCCATCCATGTTTTCTTCCCGAGGTTGCGTTGGTCATCATTGACATGTTGGTCTCTGGGCATACAGCCCTGGTGTTTACCGCAACGGTGTTACCAAACATGGGCAATGGGAAATCCCGGAAACATGGAATCTTAATGGGAAAATCGTGGAACTAGATGGTGTTTTTTTAAAAGAAGGTTTCATGTGATTGCAGGAAGGAAATTGTTCAATACTTGAAACGACTTCACACAGCGTTTGTTATTTATAAAATATATGTTGCAGTTTTTGGCGTGTCACACATCAGGGGAACATGAAATTGTATAATTTTCCAAGGGAGTAATTATCAGATGTTTGTGTTGTGGTTGAATGTATTTTGTTGTGACTTACCATGGAGGGCCCCCAAACAAATAGTTTTCTTTACAAGAAACATCAAAAACCTTTGTTGTTTGGATGATTTTGCTACTGCATTTCAAGACCCCAGCAACACCATATTATCATCCCAAATGGCCCACACGTCATTTTTGCAGGTTCCAATGACAAGCAGACTGCGCCTTGATACCCCAACTCAGATATTGTCCTGCAAGGTTGGTTAGTTGGATGCGTTTCAAATTGGCATTAACAAACCCCGGACGATTGATGGTGCATAGCAAACAGGAAAATTCTCAACCACGGGCAGTCCAGGCAAGAAAGGTTGGAATTAAGCGCAGATTATGGCAGATTTAGGTCTTTATGAATCCCCCTTGTTTTTTGTTACTGTGAATTACCTTGGTGCAAACATTAAAAAAATAAAAAACGTTGGAAACCGTTTCCATGAGTTTCCTAGGAACATGATCTACACATGGACTGGGTTGGAATTGGTTCGTACCCGTTACAGCTTGGGAAATGTCTCAGAATCGGGTGGATTCCTTGTAATCCTAACTAAGCCCACAAAAAATGAAAGGGACCTCGAACCGGACCTTGTTTTTGTAGCTATATTTTTTGTTTGTCAAAACCTATACATGATGGTTCAATCCCCATTAAATCGCTATTCGGCCATGGTTTTTTCCAAACGTTCACATCATTATCATCACATTCGGATTCTTAGATACCTGCTTGTAGGGAGCGTAAACAAAACCACATCTTTGACACGTTCTTCAAGTAAGGTCAGGCGCGGCTTTCTGACACCTGAAGAAGACGGTTATGTGGAGCTGGTACATGCATTGCGGCGAGGATAGTGCAACTGGTGGAGGCTTAGGATGATCTTTTCATGAAGGCAGCAACTGTGGAAACCAGGAATGTGCAGTTTAGTATTTCATAGTGTTTGATATGTTTATAGCAGACATACCACCTCCAAAAATGTGCAGGGTATCTAAGATTGGCAATGTAATCATTAAAACAAAAAGTATCAAATCAAAATTGGAGGTTTCGCATCCATTAATCATGGAAAACAATCAAGGTTCATCAACAAATCACACCTTAACATGATTCAACAAACAAACTGTGTGTTTTTCTCACCATGAATATACAAGGTGAGGCCCCCCAAACAATAGCGAAGATGGCTCAGAACTTCAATATGTATGGTTTGTGACAATTAATAACTATGTTTGATTATACCTATAAATTGTGTCCAGAAACCAACTTATAACTGGAGGCTGGAGGTCCCAACTTGTATATTGTTTTCAGTATTTGGGCTATAGGCTGCAGACTTGCAGTGCCAATCCTAATCTATCTCAGCATGAGAGCAGATTGAAGATGATTACCCCGAAAATTTGCACGCTCAATGCCAATGCTATTCGATGCACCCCAAGGCAATGTTTAAGTGCATTGGGAAGATCTTAGTGGATTGCTTTGCGAGGACGAGCATGCTTGAATTCAAAAGTTTCAAAACCCAGTTGGCAGAGAATTTTTCTGCTGCCCAATATTGGTGATGATACTTCATAATTATAATCCATGTTCAGCATCCTCACTAACCAACTGCTATAATAAGGAGTTATCCAGTAGGTTCATTTTTAGTGAAGCTGATAGTTGAGAATAGGATGCAACGACGGGCATTCAGGATTCACTATTCACTCACTTGGCGTATTGGATGGATTGGATTGACATAGTGATCTAGTTTTGTTATATAAGTTTGTTGGAATTAGGTTGGTAAACGGTGAACATAGTAAACATTAAACACAATTTATCCAACAACTAAACTTTTAGAAGGCGATCAACTAAGCACCAAGTGTAATATGCTGATAATATGCTGTAGGACTAAGAAAACAAATCAGAAGATCTCACGTTCTCATTTTTTGAGAAGGGAATATTGATCAACTTGTAGTGTGGCTTCATGGTTGTTGCCATCAGCGGCTTGGTTGTTGCTTTTGCGGCGGCGACACCTCCGGCAAAACTTGGGTTACTGTCACTGTTATGTAATTACTGTAGTTTTTTTGTTTTTTTGTAATGTTACTTTATCGTACTGTAGTTTTTTGGGGTTAATGCAATGTACTGTAATGTTACGGGCAAACACCTCGTTTTTCCCGCGCTTGTCGGCGGCCATCTTCGTATGTCCTGAAAACCTGGTAAAAATGAGAGTTTTTTGCATCATGGCTAACTTCATGTTGTATATCGGCACGCACAGCATAGGGACCTGTGCGAGTCTCCTTACACATCATCATCATCATCATCATCATCATCATCATCAAACCCCTGTTGAAGATCTTCAATGAATGTAGAAGCTTAACGGTGGTGAGAGAATTAAACGGACCCTGATGGAAGGTCTTCAATGAATGTAGAAGTTCAACGGGGGTGGGAGAATTAAACCCTTATTGAAGATCTTCAATGAATGTAGAAGTTTAGCGGAGATGGGAGAATTAAACCCTTATTGAAGATCTTCAATGAATGTAGAAGTTAGACGGGGGTGGGAGAATTTAACCCTTATTGAAAATTCTCAATGAATGTAGAAGTTTAACGGGGGTCGGAGAATTAAACCCTTATTGAAGATCGTCAATGAATGTAGAAGTTTAACGGGGGTGGGAAATTTATATTCCCTAAATACCCTTGTTGATCTTCCCAATTGAATGTAAAGTCTAACGTTTGATATCCCCAAGTGTACAGCATAGAAGGGGTGTGCGCGATACGGGATGTTTGCGCGTAATGTTACTGTAATGTTTTTGCTTTTCGGTTTGTTGCATTCTTCAATGATTCAAGAGAAACAGTTGCACCGTGGCAGGGAGAATGAGCTCCCAGCAAAAGCTTGAACCTCGCGCGCGAGCTTGAACCTCGCGCTGCGCGCTGCCAAGAAAATGCGTGCCAGTGCGACACCTGACGTTTCGCAACAGTGATTCAAAAACATCAAAACTTGGAAATGACCTTTGTCCATCATCTTCGTTTGTTATTCTAATTCGTAGGGCGACTCCTGCTACAACAGCAACACATTATATAAGTTGATTTACATGTGGCATTGGTGGTTTGTTTTATGCATCATGCAGGGATTGCATGAGTATGCCATCGAGATTGCCACTGCAAATGATCTGATGTACCGCAAGAATTTGTTCCATTTAATTATATCTGGCTGTTGGTTTGGAACATCTGTTATTCTCCATAATATACGGCATAATCCTTCCCATAGACTAATATTTTTCAAGATGGTTATTGCACCACCAACCAGATATAAATCGGTGAAGGTGGTGTCGGACCGCAACCCTTTATATACATGGTTGTTGCACAGCTCCTTCATGTTATGGTCTCCGAACTGGGAGGATTCTCCCTGTATATCCCCTGGTACCTTTTTTCTGGTTGGATTTATCTTGGCTATACAACTACCCCAAATTTGGTTGGTCCAATTGCAGTCTAAAACATTCTAAAACCATTTATAGCACTTTGGGGTTGGTTCAGTCCCCATTATACTCTTCGGTAAATAAACATAACCACGGAAAACTACCCATTTGTAGATGATTTATATAACCATTTTCCATGGTTATGTTTTATAACCGGAACGTTGGTGGCTCGAAGCTGAACATCAATCCATGGGTAAAGCGGGTGGTTAGATCATCCTGATCGTAAGCGGTTATTAAGCATAGGGATCCAAAGTCCCCGATTCTGTAGGTTATCCTATATAAACTGGGAAAATTATAACGACCAAACCCTGTTCTCCCGTCCGTCCCGACCCCTGGAATCATAGTTTTTATATGGGAAATGATCCCTAAATGGCCCAACAATGCAGGTGAGTGAATTATTGTAATTTGCCCAGATATAATATGACAAACCATTCAAACTGGGTGAACTACTGTAACTATGATTACAGTTATGGCATTTTTTTATGGGTTTATAATCTGATTGGTGGTTTGGAACATGAATTTTATTTTTCCATATATTGGGAGTAATCATCCTAACTGACTTTCATGTTTTTTTCAGAGGGGTAGGTATACCACCAACCAGCAATGATATGTAACCATCCTTACAAAAGTTATAATTTCATCTACCGATTGTTAGTTGGGCCCTAACTGTAAAACTTTCACAACTGGGTGAATTAACTATACAATGTGAGGCTCCCAAGATAGCTAAGTTGGTTCAAAAAACTCCAATAACTATGGTTTATGGTACACAACTAACTATAGTTACTGGGGCGAATCTAAACCAACGTTCATCACAACGGGGGGCCTCACATTGTATGATTCTTGAGCCAGTTACGATCCATGGGATGATCTTCCAAGTGTTTTGTGTTTCTTACGAGGGGATAGTAGGGGGATAGCTCCGGGTTGCAATGAAATATGGAATGAAATGACACTTTCTATGGGTCCCTGGGTCTAGGTACATACAATATTTTAATGTGTCTATAATCCAAATATAAACATATCCATATATATATATATACTTATACATATATATATATGTGTGTGTATCATATGTCTATCATTGTTGACTCACCTGAATAGTTTGATCTTTGGAGATCATTTTCATCGTTGCGGTCCGGGCTTAACACCGCCTAAATTGCGAAGTTACAGATTTAGAGCCCCAGAAAACCCACAGATTTAGAGTGATGAGAGATGAGATAGCTGGGATAGCCACATATATCTGGATGAATTTGATCATGACCTCACGTCGTGACGTCAGTGGACTGATCATTTGGATTGGGAAAATCATCAATGGCCGAATGATAACAGCTATTTCTGGTTTAGTGAATGATGGGTTGCACGGATTTAAATAGGTGTTTTCCCAGCAACGGGCACATGCTGCCAACACTGTGATTACACTGTGATTAATGTGTAGATCGCTATGCGTTCCCCAAGGGAAGTTGGTTTTGGAGCTGCAATAAGTGTTGGATGTATGGTAGGTAGAGATTAATCACTCCAGTTCTTAATTGTCTTAAACGATGAAATACATCCACATTTCCATTGCTAAAAAGGGAAACGTTCATTTGATATCACATCTATACATGATTTTTCAGTATGTTGTCCATGGTTAACTGTGGCTGTATCCTCCAAAAGCATGTTGAAACTCTGCATATTCTGCTACAATGTGGGGCCTTCTAGTTATCTAACTGTTTATTTTTAGTATTATAATACCATCTAACTATGACAACTACCGTAACCATGAGGTTCAACAAAAACTATCAATCACCTATCATAAATCCCAATGATAGATTTTTATTGATAGTTCGCCAATCAGGTTTACTGATAGGTGATACCCTCCGGTAATTTAACATAGCTATTGAAAATGGCCGTTTATAGTGAGTTTTCCCATGAAAAATGGTGATTTCACATAGCAAAATGTTAGTTTGACAGAGGGTATCGCAAATCCCAATAATAGTGCACCTTAGCTATCAGTCCCACGTATATCAATCCCATTGAATCCCAATTTTCGGTTGAGAGACATGAGAAAAAAATTCCCCACCTACTGGTGCTCCAGTTTTCGCTGTTTGTGAACGCTAAGTTACGGTGCGTTTGTAACTCCCAATAACTATATATGGTTCTTGTTGGTGATATATCAATATTTACTATGGTTTTTTAAAAAGCAAACATCGCTGGTGGGCACCACCTTGTATGGTGAGTTCAACCAACATCCCCCAACGCTCAGGTGTATTGCTCCGCCACAGATGACTTGTGCGCTGGCTGCCTGGCGCGATCGTGCGAAAATTTGGAGACATTGCTGGTTTAATGAAGTTTAAGAAACTGCCATATACTATCATGATATCTACGCATGGTGGGTTTTCAATATCAGTCTGAATGTACAGCAGGGTACAGTACTAAGTACCATCCATGCAGAGTTGCAAAGCAATACGGGCATGTTGTCGTTTTCTAAGAAACTATATCTATATGATTTTTGGCTGTAACGGTTTTACGCGTTATTTTTGCATGTTGGACAAATGCTTTGTTTAATGGACTGTGGACTGTGTTGAACTGTATACCTTTACATCTTGAAATATAGACTTTTTGAGTTATATATATAAGTCACCCCTATCCAGTCCATCCATATCATCCTTCCAGCCGCACACATAGTACAAGCATCACACTACATCCACGTCAAGAAATTCCACCTCTACTTCAGCTTCCAAAATCAGCAAGTGCCCTTCTGGCTGCCGGGGCTGTGGTCAGTGCAAAGTTTGGAGAGAGTCACCAACAATCTGCAAACATATTACCTACAGTCGTGGCCCGAAATACCGGATAAGTCAAGTACAACTCCATTTATGTAATCATAACCCTGATTAAAACCATAAGAACAATTAAGTACTAGTGCTACAGGGCTTTTACATGGGACTCAAAATAAGGTCATCCACGTCCCATGGACAGGCAGCTCGCACGGCTCAAGGACACAGCCCGATTTGTGACTCGTCGACAAGACGACTCGTGACTATGTCGTGGACTCGTTACCAGGAGTCGGCCTCAGAATCCTGGCCTCCCTCCGCCAGTGAAGAAAGGGTGACGCCTTTCTCGCGCTATCCTCTTCAAGATGCCTGGCAGATTTGGCGATTTTCGGAATCCACGTTGTTTGGAAATCTATATGGAAGATGTTTTGGTTTATTTGGGGCCCCAGCCAATCCCAGGATGGCTTCTACAACACCTTGGCTTACACCCACGTCGTCATTGGATTTACATACCTTTCACTGATGCTGTGGCAGTTTTTGGCCACCAAAGGAACGTCGGAGCATGTGCGGCGCGGTCTGGTGCTCAAGTGGATCGCTTTATTCTGCATCGGTGGAGGTTTCTGACTTTAATTACTTTTTCTTTTTCGGATTAGATGGGTACGAAGACTGTACGCTTAAAGTTATAAGACTTTACAGACTTAGCCTAGATATACAGAAGTTAAAGGATTTATGTTGGAAGTTAGCATGACTTATCAAAAAGATAAAAGGAAGTTATGTTAACTTTAATAACTTATTTGTAAGTTTTGTCTTAACTTTTCGTAACTTCTGCTAACATTTTATAACTTCTGCTAACTTTTTATAACTTTTCATAACTTTTTGTAACTTTTTTGTATATTTTTATACTTTTGAAAGTCTTTGCCTTGGTTTCCGACCACGTGGATTTTATAACTGTCTTGTTTCTGAAAGAACTTTCAGATATGATATCCTTTTTTTGAATCGACGAAGTGATGTGAAAGCGTTTCAGTTATGTATGTTTCAGGAATCATGACACCTGAGGCGATATGTTTTTTTTTGTGATATCTCTGTCTGTATTTTTGGATCTGAAAACAAGTTTAGTTGCAACTGTTCCCGTTCGGGATCCGTCATTTTGTTAAAACGATCCCGTTCGGGACTTGGTTGTTTCAACCTCTCCCTTTCGGGATCTAGTCCGTTCCAACGTTTGGTATTGAACTATAGGTATTTTTGTCTGAACTATAGCTATTTTTCTTTGAACTATAGCTATTTTTGTCTGAACTATAGCTGAACTATAGCTGAACTATAGCTGAACTATAGCGGAACTATAGCGGAACTATAGTGGAACTATAGCGGAACTATAGCGGAACTATAGGGGAACTATAGCGGAACTATAGCGGAACTATAGCTGAACTATAGCGGAACTATAGCGGAACTATAGTGGGAACTATAGCGGAACTATAGCGCGGAACTATAGCGGAACTATAGCGGAACCATAGCGGAACTATAGCGGAACTATAGCGGAACTATGGTGGAACTATAGCGGAACTATGGTGGAACTATAGCGGAACTGTCGCGGAACTATAGTGGAACTATAGCTGAACTATATGGAACGTGCTGGTGCTTTTACTTTGAGAGGCAATGCAGCTAACACAAACACACACTGTTTGCATATTGATAGAAAAAACAAGACCTTCTCTGCAAGAAATATCTTCCAAGACCAGGTCCTTTACAAGCATTAGATATTACAAGTTCAAACATTCGATCCTTTACAGGAAATGTCTTTACAGACCACATCCTTCACAGGAACAGTCTTTGCAAACCATGTCCTTTACAGGAACAATTTCTTCAAACAGAATCCTTTACAGGAACCATTTTTTCAAACCATGTCCGTTCCAGGACCTCATTTTTTTCACACCGATTCCTTTACAGGACCTGTCTTCACAAAAAATTTGCCTGCGAACAACATCGTTTCCACATACAGAAAGATTGTTTCACCCTGTATAAATGTTGACAAGCTTTGTCACAAACTTAATGAAACTCTCGAAAAATGTAAAATAAATAAACATTTTCATTGCCCTCTTGTAAACATATTTTTAACTTTATGTACCTTTATACTAACTTTTTGTAACTTTTTATAACTTTTTATAACTTTTGTTAACTTTCAGATAACTTATGATAACTTTTCCTACATACTTATGTTAAGTCTGTTAACATAGTTATAAAAAGAAAACATGCAGTTAAGATACTTACGATAAGTTCATTAACCATTTATATTTTACCTAAACATTTACAACTTCTCGTAGCCGGCTAGCTAAACTTACAAATTACTTATCAAATGTTATGACACTTTACATACTTGCAAGCAGGTTATAGACATGTTATAGAAGGTTTATATACATGTTGTAACTCGTCTAAATCTGTAAACTCATATAACTTCCAGCGTACAGTCTTCGTAGACTGTGAGCATTCTGTTTCATTTTTCCTGTTTAGGATCAATAAACCATTACGGTCACTTTTAAGATTTGAGCAGGGTAGCAACAAACCAAGGTTGGGTGCTTCAGATTCGTCATTCCTGGTTCAGCGACCCAAAGGTCTTCGAGAAAACCCCAGTGCCCCTGGCAGTTGTGAACCTACCTGGTTTCTTCAGGATGATGACAACCCATTGTTGAATATCAATGAAGCAATAAGGAGTTTTATGGCATTTCATTGGTTAAATCCATGCACGATGGCAGATCATCTGCCGAAAGTCGTTTGGTTCGCAGGGTTCCCGGCCATGCTTGATTGCTGCAAGGTAATATAGAGATATATGATTGGGGACTGTCTTCATCGATGGCCCACCCATGTTTTCATGTTGTGCTGAAATTCTGCCACACCAAATGCAAGGAGATTGAGAAGTCTGACTTAGCTGCATTTCCCTAGGTCAATCTTGGATGGGTAGTTTAATCCTTTAGTCTTTTGGTATCAATAGGATTATCTACTCACCAGCTAAGAAGTGTTTTTTGCAGTGTATCTAAGATTGGCCATCTTCATGATCGCTACAAAGTCGTGCCTCCTAGTTAGCTTTGTTTGTTCATGACTTCCTTGAAGTATAGTTAACCAGCTTAGCTGACTATGAGGCATCACGTCTTAGAGGCTGCTAGATTTATGGTCAAAGATGGTCAAAGATGGTCAAAGTGGTTCATGGAAACGTAGCAACCTCTTGGCAGCATACCTGGCCGACATGGGTAGCAAGCCTGTTGGAAATCTTGACGTCTTCGTTTGGGAATGTTTGCCTCAGTGCATGTGTTTTTGAGTTCAATCGTCCATTTTGCCAGTTAAATCACCAATTTTGCCAGCTAAATCACCAATTCTGCCAGTTAAATCACCAAGTACAATGTTTTTTTCCCACCAGCCATCTGCACCATCTTTCGGTTGCGCCACGGGTTTCGAGAATCCACAGGAAATCTCCGAAGCTTTTTGGTGGTTGAATTGCCATCTGGTTTGAATTGCGATTTTCGAATTTTATGGGATTTGAGGGCGGTTATATATTTCTAATCGGATGGAACGAACAAAACAGGTGACATGGTGAATATACCTTCTGGCAATCAAACATAGCTTGCTGGAACCTTTCTCATTTTGTTCGATGGTTTTACTGAAAAAACACGTGGCATTTTATGGGTGGTGAGGCCCCTCAGTGATGTTTGTTGGTTTATAAACTATAAGGTATATTAATTACTGGTTGGTGGTTTGGATCATTTTCCATTTTTCCATATATTGGGAAAAATCATCTCAACTGACTAATATTTTTCAGAGGGGTTGAAACCACCAGCAAGTGTTTGGCGACATCCCCCATGATATCTGCAGGTAACCGGCCGTGACATAAGCTGAGAACTAGCTGCAACCACCGGCCCTTTGCGTTACGCCCAGGTGCTTTTCAGCCTACCCTTTGCACGGAATTTCGTGAGTGCCTTTGGCAGCTCGACAGTGGTGAGTGCTTTGAATTGCTTCTTGGTTGGGGTGACTTGACCGATCTTTGGTCACATCTTCTCTTTTTTCTCTGGTAAACACCATAAATTATCATAAGTGCAATAGCTTTATGTTTTTTCTTTTCATGTCTACCAAGGATATTTAATATGATTTAATGATAATTGGTATATTTCAAAGATGTTCTGGTTTTCTTAAGATGTCAACCCCATTGCTTGGGTAGTTCACATGAGCCAAGGTCAAGGAAAAGTCTCGTATGGCCTCGTGCGGTGGCCCTTTGCATCTCTTCCTTCTGGCAGCCACCTCAGTGTCCTTGGCAGTCGATGTCAATGCATATGTCTACATTTTCCGTGACTCGGAAAATTCCGGAAAATCAAGGGTGCTCCCGGTTTTCCATTGATATCTTTAGTTTCTGGGAAAATGTTCACTTAAATTGTTCAATTCCCTGCATCGGATGGTTTTCAGATCAGAGGACTTTCATGACATGAGAAAAAAATCTCGGAATAAGATTTTACATGCAAACAAAAATAACAATAATGAAACACATCCCCAAACATTTTTAAAAATCGAAATATCTCAAACAAAATCAACATATTTCAAAAAAGAAAGTCGAAACATCTAAGTGGTAAGAAAAGGAAACCACCATTTTGCCCCCCAAAAAAATATTTCAACAAATCTCATAACACGCCAAACAGTGTAAAACCATGCGTTATATGAGTTATATATGCAAACAGAACAGTGGTCAGCGTAGCTACGATTGTGAGTGCTGCAGATAAGCCATTTGTCTTCCGTGCCTCGCCTGTGAACTGTTTGTTATTAACAAGAAAATGATTTAAAATAATAAGAAATGAAAAAGCATAACATATGAATGAAACGAATGAAAAGGTGATTAGCTCAGATGCAGAAAAAGGCAAATAAATGCACATATATTAAATGTGTGCTGATAGGAGCGACCCTTGTCTGATGTAATCACCCTCCTACACATTGTATTGAATTATCTAAGTGAAGTCTACAGGAAAGCATGGAAATTAATGTAGTCTCCTGATTAGTGTGGTAGGTAGGACGCTATTGTAGATTTTTTTCTGAAATAATTCTGACCAAGGGAAATTGATTGGGTGGGTCGGTTTTGCAGATTTTCTATTGTTTTTTTTCATTTTTTTTTAATGTCTAAATTGTTTTAAATTATATTTTAATTTGTGGTTTATTTTGTTCATTTTTCCGTTTTTTTTACATATTTCATTTTTCAGCTTTTTTAAATATTTTCATTTTTTCATAAGCAATATTGATCCTAAAAAATATGCTTGTTGTGGTGGTCCTCTATTGTGTCAGGCTTTTTTTGGAAGTATTGTTTTTTCCAAAATAATTCTCTGCGTTCTTTTCCCTTTCCTTTGCTAATACTGTTCTCTTTTTGACTTTCTTAGCTCCATTCTGTTGGAATTCTCAAAAGGTTTAATTTCCCAAAATATAGGATGCCTTATTAAAATCCAATAAAAAAACAGCACTCAAACAATTTTTCACGGGAGTAGCCCATGAGCAACCCTGATCCTCAATAGTGTGTTTGTTGTGGTGGTCCTCTATTGTGTCCAGCATTTTTTCCAGAATCATTCTCTCCTTTCCTTTTCCTTTCCTTTGCTAATACTTTTCTTTTTTTAACTTTCTTAGCTCAATCCTTTTGGAATTCTCAGAAATGCCCAATTCGCCAAAATATATAATATAATGCCTTATTAAAGCCCCCCAAAAAAAAAACTTTACTTCGTGTGATCCCCACCAGGACATTTATACATTTTGTTACTGGCAAATCTTCTGGCATTATATTTGACATATCTTCTGGCATTCTATCTGGCATATCTTCTGGCATTCTATTTGGCATATCTTCTGGCATATATTATCTACTCAAATCTTCTGGCATTCTATCTGGCAAACATTCTGGCACATTATCTGGCATATCTTCTGGCATTCTATCTGACATTTTATCTGGCATTCTATCTGGCATACCTTCTGGCATTCTATCTGGCATATCTTCTGGCATTCTATCTGGCATATCTTCTAACATTCTATCTGGCATATCTCCTGGCACTCTATCTGGCATATCTTATGGCATTTTATCTGGCATATCTTCTCGCATTCTATCTGACATTCGATCTGGCATATCTTCTGGCATTCTATCTGGCTTTTGAGGTCCAGCGGTGCGCACTGAGCTCGGAAGGCCCCAGGTTGAGGTCCAGCGGTGCGCACTGAGCTCGGCAGGTCCCAGGTTGAGGTCCAGCGGTGCGCACTGAGCTAGGAAGGCCCCAGGTTGAGGTCCAGCGGTGCGCACTGAGCTGGGAAGGTGCCAGGTTGAGGTGCAGTGCGCACTGAGCTCCGAAGTTGGCGAAGAGCTTGGCCAATAGTTGGCAAGGCAACAATGGACGTGGAAGTGGAGGCAGAGGTGGTAGAAGAGGAGGAGGACGCGGAGGAGGAGGAGGAAGGAGGAGGAGGAGAAGGAGGAGGACGAGGAGGAGGCGGAGGAGAAGGAGGAGGATGAGGAGAACAGCTCTGATAAAATCTAACAACCCTCACCTGGCAGGTGGGGAAAAACAGCATCCAAACAATTTTTCAAGGGAGTAGTCCATGAGCAACCCTGATCCTCAATAGTATGTTTGTCGTTGTGGTCCTCTATTGTGTCAGGCTTTTTTTGGAAGTATTGTTTTTTCCAAAATCATTCTCTGCGTTCCTTTCCCTTTCCTTTGCTAATACCGTTCTCTTTTTGACTTTCTTAGCTCCATTCTGTTGGAATTCTCAAAAGGTTTAATTTCCCAAAATATAGGATGCCTTATTAAAATCCAATAAAAAAACAGCACTCAAACAATTTTTCACGGGAGTAGCCCATGAGCAACCCTGATCCTCAATAGTGTGTTTGTTGTGGTGGTCCTCTATTGTGTCCAGCTTTTTTTTTGGAAGCATTTTTTCCAAAATCATTCTCTCCTTTCCTTTTCCTTTCCTTTGCTATAGCTTTTGTCTCTTACTTAGTTCAATTCTTCTTGCGTACCGTCCTTGGTTTCTATGGCGTTTCTTTGGGATTTTGATAGTTTTTCTATGGAAATTCTATGTAATTTCTTTTTGTGTTTCTATGATATTCTATGATGTTTCTAAAGGTGTGTCGATGGATGGGGTTTCAAAAGGATGTCTATGGGATTTCCTTTGGATTCCTGTGGTGTTTCTGTGGTATTTCTATGGGATTTCTTTGGGATATACATGATGTTTCTTTTGGATTTCTATGATACTTCTATGAGATTACTATGGGATTAAACACAGATTTCTATGATATGTCTAGAATGTTTCTTTGGGAATTCTATGGGGTGTCCATGAAGTTTCTTTGGAATTTCTATGGTGGTTCTATGATATTTCTATGGGGTTTCTATTGGATTCCTTAAGTTTTCCATGGTATTTCTCTGGGACTACTATGGGATTTTCTATGGGGTGTCAATGGTATTTCTAGGGGATTCCTATGGTGTTTCAAAAGGATGCCTATGGGATTTCCATTGGATTCCTATGGGATTTCCATGATGTTTCTATATTCTATGATATTTCTAGAAGATTTCTATGGGATTTTTGAAGGGATGCTATGGGAATTCAATTCTTATGGGGTTCCCATTGGATCCATTGGGTTCCTATGAGATTTCTATGGTAATTCTATGATGTTTCTTTGGGGTTCCTATGGGATTCCTATGGCATTCCTATGGGAGTTCATGATGTTTCTATGATGTTTCTATAGGATTACTATTGGATTCCTGAAGGAATTCTATGAGATTCTTTAAGAATGGGATTTCTGTGAGGTTCCTATGGCAGTTCCATGATATTTCAATGATATTTCTATGGGGTTACTGTGGGATGTCAATTGAAAGTAAGTTGAAATCAATTGAAAATAAATTCAACCAACATGGAAATCAAATGAAAATCCATTGGAAGTCAGTTGACATCAGTTGAAAATCAATTGAATGTAAATTGACATCAATTGAAAGTAAATTGAAAATCAATTGAATGTAAATTGGAAATCAATTGAAACCAATTGAACATAAATTGAAATCAATTGAAAGTAAACTGAAATCAACTGAAAGTAAATTGAAATCAATTGAAATCAATTGAAATCAATTGAACGTAAATTGCAATCAATTGAAAATCAACTGAAAGTGAATTGAAATCAACTGAAAGTAAATTGAAATACATTGTAAATCAATTGAAATCAATTGAAAGTAAATTGAAATCAATTCAAAATCAATGGAAAATGGAAATCCATAGAAAATCAATTCAAAGTAAATTGAAATCAATTGAAAGTAAAATTAAAATTAATTGAAAGTAAATTGAAATCAATTGAAAACCAATTGAAAGTAGATTGAAACCAATTGAAAGTAGATTGAAACCAATTGGAAGTAAATTGAAATCACTTGAAAATCAATTGAAAGTAAATTAAAATCAATTGAAAGTAAATTGAAATCAATTGAAATCTTTCATTTTTTTCATTTCCACAGGATTCAGACCCCGGTCCCTTGAAATTCCACATTAGAGAGACTCGAAGAATTGTTTAGGGGGGAGGGGAGGGGGTGGCCCTACACTAATCAGGATACTACATTATTGTTTTGTCACCTGCCGGGCTTCCTTCTTCCTTCCGCTAGCTCGCCATCACTCTGTGCGCCAACGGAACCGGATCTCGCAGCAAGTGCCAGCTTAAGTGGAGTAATCTCGCTCCAGGAGCTTTTGGCGAGCTTCACGTCAGTTTGAGCACACACGGACCCGAGACCTATCGCGAGCTCCAGGTCAGGCTGGGCGCACACAGACCAAAACACATGCCAGAGAGAATGTTAGAATAGATGCTTGATGAATGCCAGAAAAATGCCGGAATAGATGCCAGAGTAAAGGCCAAATAGAATGTGAGAGTAACCGACAGATAGACTGCCAGAAAGAATGCCAGATAAGATGTCAGATAGATTGCCGGCAAGAATGCCAGAATGAATGCCAGAATAGATACCAGATATTTTGCGAGAATAGATGCCAGATAGAATGCCGGAATAGATCCCAAATAGATCCAAATAGGATGTCAAAGTAAATGTCAGAGAGAATGCCCGATAAAGTGCACGAAAGAATGTCAAACTTGATGTCAAATAGAATGCCGGAAAGAATGTCAGAATGGATTCAATGCCAGACAGATTGCGAAATAGAATTTCACGCTTTATGCCAGAACATGCCAGAAAGAATGCCAGCTCAGCTTGGGCACACACAGACCCAAACCCCATGGCGAGCTGCAGATCAATTTGGGCACGCACGGACCCGAACATGTGCCTTAAAGAATGCCAGAACTTATGCCAGATAGAGCGTCAGAATATTTGCTAGAAAGGATGCCAGATAGAATGTCAAAATAGGTGCCAGATAGAATGCCAGAAAGAATGTCAGATAGAATGTCAAAGTATATGCCAGAAAGAATGTCAAATACTGTAGAAGGTCTGTATTTTTCATTTTTTGGATATGTAAATACATATATATATATACACATAATCAAGTCCAGCAACATAATTTGTCAGGGTGGGAACCTGCCGAAGTAAAGTAGCTTGCATGGTTTTCCATTTATTTTGGGTCTCACCCGGGAAGGAAGGTTCTCATCCACACCCATGCACTTAGGTGATGTTAGGTGATATATATATATATATATATGTGTGTGTAATAAACCATAATAGAACAATGTACTAACTATATATACTATAGGAGGAAACACCTTGTTCAGTTCAGGCGAAATGAGCACTACCCCGGCTTGGGGCAACTACCATTGGGACATGCTCGTGGAGATGACCGTGATTGGCGCAGTTTTCCCCTTATACGATGGCCTGAACTTGTATGTACTCAGCCAATGGTACCGTACGGGTTTCTTGGACTACAAGGAACATCACGTCATGAACGCTGTTTGGAGCATGAGCAAAACCGCGGTTCCTTGACTTGAAGATGCGAAGCCATGTTTGATCATGTTTGTTTCACATTTTCCAAGCAAAATCCTTGCAGAAACTAGGGGAAAATCTCAAGGGTTGAACGGTTAAACTGATGAAACACTACGTGCCAACATATTAACATTCTTAGTTACATTCCAACGCAGGCTGCAGCATTGCTGTTTTCCGCTCACGATGCTCATTTCTTTTGGCCTCACCCGGGCATTACCCTTATTTACCGTTGGGCTGTGCAGTTGGTGCCGCAATTATTGATCTTGGTTCCATACCTCCTGCGCATCTTCCGCTACGTCGCAGCCGCACACGACTACGACCCTGTCGCAACGGCGGCGGGCACTGAAATGGCCCGTGGTCTCCAGAGGACGGAGGTGAATAATAGTAAAGCCTGAGCTAAATGCAGGGATGCCAAGATAATGCCAAGGCCAGGGCGACTTGGAGTTGGTTCCGTAAAATCCGTATTTCCTCTTTATATCTGACATAGCAAACGAACAATATTGTGATGTAAGTTCATGTCATTGGTATATATATATATATGTATATGCACATTCATATATGCTTGATTTGTTGTAACTTGAGTATGAGGTGGTAGGATGTCATATTGCATATAGATATAATTTTTATGCTAAGTGATTTCAAAATTTGAACATGTCATTGCCATGATTTGTCCAAACTTCAAAAGTCGCTTCGCCTCCCGGCCGCTTAAAGTGGCTGGGCGGCATGGCACCAGCAAGGCTTGTTGGCATATAATTAATTTTTAAGACTGGAGCCCCCGTTCGAATTTCAACTACAGAATGGGAGGCCTTGTGCCCCGTTTCAAGGGCATTTCCGGGCTTAAATTAAGATGAAAAGATGGGTATGGGCCAGGCATTTTGTACCCACAGCTTGGGAATTGCATTTTATAAGTTTTCAACGTTTCGGTAGTTGAAAGACCTTTAAAAATCAAAAGTCATTTTGTAGCAAGAGAATTTGCCCATCGGAAGACAACATGTAAAAACCCAATCTCATTTTGTAGCATGGGAAGTTGCCCTTCGGAAGGCAACATGTGAAAACCCAATCTGATTTTGTAGCAAAGCTGATGATCATAACATGTAAAAACCAATCTTCATTTTGTAGTGGTGGAGTGCCCCCTTCAAGTAACTTGATGATAAAAACCAATGTTCATTTTGTAGTGGTGGAATTTCCCCTTCAAGTAACCTCATGATAAAAACCAATCTTCATTTTGTAGCAGTATCATGTTGTCATTTTCCGTAATCCTTTGGAGGTTGAGAACCATCATTTTATAATGGCTGAGGTTAGGAACTTTGAGGCTTTGGTACAAAATGAGGGTCTCGACCCCATAGGTGAAATTCAAACCGGGATAGACTGGATAGAACTACATAGAAAAACATAGAACCACAGGCTTCGCGATGGTTTATGGATATTTGTTGATGCTTACCACAGTTTTTTGGTTTGTTATATACATAAATCATGGTTCATGCCAGTTGACGGCTATGTTTGTATGTATTCAATATAAAAAATAAAAATGAAATAATCGAAGGAAGTTTAGAAGTCAAACTTCCGACAATATGGACAGATGAAAAGCAGAGCAGGGAAGAAGCAGAGAGAAGAGAAAGATTAGAAGAAAGAAGAGTAGAAGAGAAAGAGTAAGAAGAAAGAAGATGGAGATGTGCGAAAAGGTAGGAAAGTCGCGAAACACTGTGTTTTTCGAATGATTTGAGGCTCCGGAGGGTCGAAAAGTAGGCTCGCTAAAGCGGCGGGTGCGGAGCCAGCTGGCCAGATGAGAGATGAAAAGTTGCACGCCGTTGTGGTGCGAAGCACATTTCGAAGTCCAAATGTACAAAGCACAACCACTTTTGGCAGTTGAGATGTCGAAAAAGTGCACGCCGTTGTGGCGCGAAGCACATTTTGAAGCCAAAATGTACAAAACACACCAGCGTCGGACCATTTTTGGAAGTTGAGATGTCGAAAAAGTGCACGCCGTTGTGGCGCGAAGCACATTTTGAAGTCAAAATGTACAAAACACACCAGGTTAGGACCACTTTTGGAAGTTGAGATGTCGAAAAAGTGTACGCCGTTGTGGCGCGAAGCACGTTTCCAAGTCAAAATGTACAAAACACGACATGTTCGCGCCACTTTTGGAGGTTCGGATGTTGAAAAAGTGCACGCCAGTGTGGCGCGAAGCACATCTCGAAGTCAAAATGTACAAAGCACCACATGTTCGCGCCACTCTTGGAGGTTCGGATGTTGAAAAAGTGCACGCCGTTGTGGCGCGAAGCACATTTCCAAGTCAAAATGTTAAAAGCACCAGGGTTCGGACCACTTTTGGAGGTTCGGATGTCGCAAAAGTGCACGCCGTTGTGGCGTCAAAATGTACAAAAACACTAGGGGTTCGGACCACTTTTTGGAGGTTCAGATGTCGCTTCGCTTCAAGACACTACACTACAGGACATTACACTACACAACACTCCAGTACACTACATTACACTACATTACACTCCAGTACACTCCACTACACTAAATTACACTACACCACACTATATTACACTGAATGACACTGCAACACAGATAGACAGGTAGACAGCTAGACAGAGAGACAGATGAAAGGGAGAGATAGATAGACAGGTAGGTAGATAGATAGACAGATAGATAGGTAATTAGATGAAAGAGAGAGAGAGAGGCCAGCTGGGTAGATGAGATAGATAGATAGATGGCTAGACAGATAGACAGACAGAAAGACAGACATATCGATAGACAGATAGATGGATAGATAGATAGATAGATAGATACATCGATTCATACATAGACCGATACATGGAGAGAGAGAGAGAGATAGATACATAGAGAGATAGATAGATAGACACAGAGATAGATAGATAGAGAGATAGATAGATAGATAGATCGATAGATAGATAGATAGATCGATAGACAGATAGATAGACAGATAGATAGATAGACACATAGATAGGTCGATAGATAGATAGACACATAGATAGATACATGGATAGATGGACAGACAGACAGACAGACAGACAGATAGATAGATAGATAAATAGACAGGTAGACAGATAGACACCACTGCACTACATTACACTACCTTCCACTACACTTCACTACATTACTCTACACTACACTCCACTACACTACAACTACAACTGCAACTACACAACTACACTCCACTACACTACACTACACTGCACTCAATTACACTCAACTACACTACACTACATTACATTACACTACACCCCACTACACTACATTACACTACACTACACTACTCCCACTACACTTCACTACATTGCACTACACTACACTCCACATCACAACACTACAACTACACCTAAACAACTACACTCCACTACACTCCACTACACACCACTACACTACATTACACTACACTACATCCCACTACACTACACTACAACTACACAACTACATTCCACTACACTCCACTGCGCTAAATTACACTACACTACAGTACATGACACTACACTACACTCCACTACACTACATTACACTACACTACTACACTACACCACCTTCCACTACACTTCACTAGGTTACGCTACACTACACTCAACCACACTACAACTACAACTACAACTACACTCCACTACACTCCACTAGACCAATTTACACTACGCTAAGTTACACTACACTACACGACATTACACTGTACTACACTACATTCCACTACACTCCACTACACTACACTACAGTACACTACACTACATTAGACTGGATGACACTGCACCATAGATAGACAGGTAGACAGATAGTCAGACAGACAAGTAGATAGATAAATAGATAGATAGATAGACAGATAGACAGCTAGACGGATAGACAGATGAAAGAGAGCGAGAGAGAGATAGATAGATAGATAGATAGATCGATAGCTGGATAGATACATAGAAAATAGATAGGTAGGTAGGTAGATAGGCAGAGAAAGAGAGAGAAAGAGTGAGAGAGATCAAGCACCTTTCAATCCATCAGTGGCTTCGCTCTGCCATCCTTGATTCACAACAACCAACCTCTCCTATAGGTTTCCTATTTTTGAAACTTCCGCCACCGCCTTGTGCGGTACTAGTGGTATATTAATAATAAAAACAATAATCATCATCAAAGGAAGTTTAGAAGTCAAACTTCCGACAATATGGACAGATGAAAAGCAGAGATGGGAAGAGTCAGAGAAGAGAAGAGAAGAGAAGCGAAGAGAAGAAGAAAGAATATCAAAAAGAGAAAGAGTGAGAAGAAAGAACGAAAAGGTAGGAAAGTCGCGAAACACTGTGTTTTTCCAATGATTTGGGGCTCCGGAGGGTCGAAAAGTAGGCTCGCTAAAGCGGCGGGTGCGGAGCCAGCTGGCCAGATGAGAGATGAAAAATTGCACGCCGTCGTGGCGAGAAGCACATTTCCAAGTCCTAATTTACAAAACACCACATGCTCGGACCACTTTTGGAAGTTGCGATGTCGAAAAAGTGCACGCGAAGCACATTTCCAAGTGAACATGTGCAAAACACCTCAGCTTCGGAGCATTTTTAGAAGTTGCGATGTCGAAAAAGTGCATGGCGCGAAGACAACTTTAAAGTCAAAAGTGCAAAAAACGGCGGGGTTCGGAGCATTTTTGGATGTTCAGATGTCGTTTCGCGTGGCAGGTGCAAGGGATTGTGCACCTGGTCAAAAGTGAGCAAAACGTGGTGGCTGGTGGTTTTGCAGCATTTCCAAAAACGATGGCAGTTGTGGGACATTTGAACAGGATCTGCAAAGATGCATTTTCCGTGGTAGGCGCAGTACAAGAGACATTTTCATCAGAGCTGTTAGGAGGTCCGGGCGCTGATTTCCTGAGAGTGGTTGCATTTTGGAGCATCGGATCTTCAGTTTTGGGAAGATGATTTTGCGTGACAGGTCAGGTGCAGCACTTCGTATGACATGGCATCACTTTTTCGTGGCAGGCACAGCACTTTAGACAGACCGCAAAACGAGTTGGCACGAGGCCGTCAGCTCTGCACTCAACTTTTTGTCAGATGTCTCGCAGAATTGTTTTGTTTTTGAAGGTGTCAACTTCGAAAATTGCGGAAGTCTGGCAGAATTGTCTCGTTTTTGATGTTGTCAAGTTCAAAAAATGAGGAAGTCTGGAAGAATGACTGCATTTTTGATGTTGCCAAGGTCAAAAACTGAGGAAGTCTCGCAGAATAGCTTCGTTTTCAATCTTGCAGATAGACAGTTAAATAGATAGACAACTACAACTGCAACTTCAACTACAAGTACCGCTACACTACACCACAACTACAACTACAAGTACAAATATACTACGCTACATTACGCAACTCCAATTACATGACAAGTACACTACACGAATTACAATTTATATACAGTAATTGCACTACACTACTCTAATTACACAACAGCAACAACTACAACAACAACTATTATTAATACTACTGCTGCTGCTGCTACTACTA